TCATATTCAATGTTATAATTGTCATCGATATAGCTATTTTGCTTCCGAGTGTAGAAATGATTTTGTGGAAGAAAGAGCACACTTTGTTGAAGAGGAAGAGCCGACCTTGTTGTTGGCATACAAAGAAGAGCAAAAGGGAGACAAGAATGTGTGGTACCCTGACTCCAGTGCTATTAATCATATGTGTGAAAATAAAGAGATGTTTGTGGAGCTTGATAAATCGGTAAGTGAAAAAGTCACTTCTGAAAATTCTTCTCAAATTCCAGTAATGGGAAGAGGTAATATTTTGATTCGTTTGAAGGATGGAAGACACCAAGTTATTTCTAATATTTTTTATGTTACAAACATGAAAAATTATATTTTGAGCTTGGGACAACTCTTAGAGAAAGGTTATGATATTTGCAAGAAAAATTATAATCTTTCAATAAGAGATGGAAACGGGAATTTGGTTGCCAAAGTGCCGATGACAAAAAATAGAATGTTTTTGTTAAATATTCAAAGGGATGTGGCAAAATGCTTGAAAGAATGTGTTAAAGATTCTTCTTGGTTATGACAGTTGAGATTTGGACACTTGAATTTTGGAGGACTAACCTTGTGTCTACAAAGAAGATAGTGAACAGATTATATTCTATCAACCACTCGGATCAAGTTTGTGAGGGATGTTTAATTGGAAAGCAAGCTAGAAAGAGTTTTCCCAAAGAATCCATTTCAAGAGCAACCAAACCACTTCAACTTGTTCACTCGGATGTATGCGGTCCTATAGACCCACCATTATTTGGTAAGAACTGGTATTTTCTTCTCTTTATTGATGATTTTAGCTGGAAAACGTGAGTTTATTTTCTAAAACAAAAATCGGAGGTGTTTGGTGTTTTCAAAAAGTTTAAGGCTTTGATTGAAAAACAAAGTGGGTATAAAGTCAAGGCAATTAGATTCGATAGAGGAGGTGAATTCACATCAAATGAATTCAAAATTTTTTGTGAAGAAAATGGAATTCACCACCCTCTAACGATTCCAAGATCACCACAACAAAATGGTGTTGCCGAAAAAAAGAACCGAACCATTCTTGATATGGCTCGGAGTATGTTGAAGAGTAAAAAAAATGCCCAAGGAGTTTTGGGTGGAAGCTATTGATTGTGTCATTTACTTGTTAAATCGGTGTCCCACTAGAAGTGTTCAAGACAAAACACCACAAGAAGCATGGGGAGGAATCAAGGAAAATGTTTCTCATTTACGGGTCTTTGGAAGTGTATGCTATGCTATGCACATGTGTCGAATGAGAAATGGACCAAACTAGATGACAAGAGTGAAAATTTGTCTTCATTGGCTATGATTCAAGAAGCAAATGTTACAAGCTTTACAACCCAAGTAATGGCAAGATAATCATTAGTAGAGATGTTGAGTTTGATGAAGAAGATGAATGAGATTGAAACACTCCACAAGAAGACTATGATTTTTTCTCATTCCTTGAAGAAGAGGAGGAGCCCAATGATGAAATCATGGAGCTGCCCATTTATTCTCCTCCACCATCACCACCATCATCCATCAATGTGCAAGCATCTCCATCATCATCCGAAGCAAGCTCAAGTGAAAGGCCACCTCGCATGAGGAGTCTTCGAGATATCTACGAAGAAACGAAGAGGTAATTCAAAGATTTAGTGATCTAACACTATTTTGTCTATTTGCGATTGTGATCCCATAGGCTATGAGAAAGCAGCACAAGACAAGAAGTGGAGAAGTGTCATGAATGAAGAAATTTATGCTATTGAAAGAAATGGAATACGGGAGCTTGCCACACTCCCTAGAGGACAAAAGGCCATTCGAGTGAAGTGGGTGTACAAGACAAAGAAAAATGCCAACGGTGAAATGGAGAGGTATAAAGCAAAGTTGGTTGCAAAAGGCTATAGTCAAAGACCGGGTATTGACTATGATGAGGTATTTGCACCCGCTGCTCATTTGGAAACAATTAGATTGATTATTTCTTTAGCTGCTCTAAATTATTGGAAAATTCATCAAATAGATGTAAAGTCCATTTTTTTTGAATGATTTTCTTGATGAAGAAGTGTATGCTGAACAACCCTTGGGTTGTGTTGTGAAAGGGCAAGGAGATAAATTCTTGAAATTAAAAAAGGCTTTGTATGGTTTGAAGCAAGCACCAAGAGCTTGGAATAGTAGACTTGACATGTACTTTCAAGCAAATAATTTCACGAAGTGTCCCCATGAACATGCTCTTTATGCAAAAGTGAATGATAATGGTGATATACTCTATGCTTGTTTGTATGTGGATGATTTGATCTTCACAAGAAATTGTCCAAGAATGTTTGAAGATTTCAAGAGAGCAATGACTAAAGAATTTGAGATGACCGACATTGGACATATGTCATACTACCTTGACATTGAAGTGAAGCAAATGAAGGAATGTATTTTTATCCCTCAAGAAGGTTATGTTAAAGCAATTTTGACAAAATTCAAGATGCAAGATTGTAAGCTGGTATGCACACCCGTTGAATATGGTGTAAAATTGTCAAAATATGAAGACGGAGAGCATGTGGATGCTACCCATTTCAAGAGCCTAGTGGGAAGCTTGAGGTACTTGACATGCACAAGGCCGGATATTCTTTTTGGTGTTGGTCTTGTAAGTTGCTATATGGAAGCTCTTACCATGACCCATTTGATGGCGGCGAAAAGAATTCTTAGATACATCAAAGGTACACTTGATTATGGATTGCTATATTCTTGTTCAAACAATTTCAAGCTTGCAGGTTATTGTGATAGTGATTGGGCCGGAGATATGGATGATAGAAAAAATACTACTGGGTATGTTTTTTTCATGGGAGATACCGCATTTGCTTGGAGTTCAAAGAAGCAACCAATTGTGACTCTTTCGACTTGTGAAGCCGAGTATGTGGCGGCTATATCATGTATTTGTCAAGCCATTTTGGCTTAGAAATTTGTTGAAGGAGCTTCATTTGCCTCAAGAAGAATCGACAAAGAATATGGTGTTTCATGATTGTAGTAAGCATATTGACACAAGGTTCCATTTCATTAGGGAGTATGTGACTAAGAAAGAGGTGGAGCTCAAGTTTGTGAAGTCTTAAGATCAAATTGCTGATATTTTCACTAAGCCTCTCAAAGAGGATGTCTTTTGCAAATTGAGAAGTTTGCTTGGAGTTGAGAAGAAAAATCATGTTTAAGGGGGGGGGGGAGGTGTTGGAAAAATAATATTAAACATGACTTTTCATGTTTTAGGAGTTATTTTTATGCATTTAGTTTTGTGTATTAGTGGGTCATCAATTTGGTATTAGTGGGGGGTAAAGTAATTGTGGTATTTTAATTCTCCAAGTAATGGAGGAGTGGAGTCTTTATTTTTTTCATTATTGCATCATGTAGTGGAGTTATTTTGTACGTCATGAGAGTCTATGTATATCCTATGTAATACATCTATTTTGATATGAGTGAATACAAAGAGTTCTTCCAATCTTCAATAGTCTCTCCCATTATATTTTTTTTGTGAGTGTGTGATAGTCTTCTAGATTCCAACAAATAAAAGCTACTCAAGGAAGTTCTTAGAACTGGAGAAGTCTGCTAAAGCTTAGGGACGCCATGAGACTGCTGGTGATACATATAATTGGCATTGGACAGTCTACCCACTTATGGCAAGACAACTAGGTCCACCGTTGCTGAAATATAGATCCTCTATCATTCAAGCATCAAGATTACCTAAGGAAGTTAAGGTCAGTGAAATAATATTAGTTGGCAATAGAGATGGCCTACATACAAATCCACTGATCAGAGAAAGGATGACACTGTGAAATGGAGCTTAACCGTGAATGGGCAATTCTCAACCAACTGTTGCAGCATTGGAGCATATTAGGGACCCTGGAACCGAGGAAACTCAGCAGAGATTGTTATGGTTTGGGCAAGCTGTCCCTAGGCTAAGATACATCTTATGACTTGCTATCAAGGAAAGACTCAACACCAAGGATCGCATGTAGGTGTTTACTAATCAATTGAGGAGAGAATGCAGTCTCTGTAATGTAGCCCCCGAATCACATAGCCATTCTTTTTCTTTTAGTGCCCATTCTCTGCAATGGTATGGACAATCATCTTGAGCAAGGTGGGATACATGTCTAACAAAAACCATGACTGGAATTGATTCAATGGACACCTTAATTCTCATTGGAAAGGGAAATCAGTGACCAAAATCATGTTGAAGATATTTATCTCATCTGATGTGTACTACATCTAGAGGAAAAGAAACAAGAGGATATTTAGCAATCATGCAATGGACAGTAATGCCTTGGCTATATTCATTAAACAAGTTGTTAGGGACAGGTTTGTCAATCTGAAATTAAGGAAACTCAACCACCAATCTAATACTAGCTCAAAGGTAGAATCTCCTTGAAACTTGCAACATTTGAATGTTGAAGATGATGCCTATGTAGCAGGCAAGAAACACGCCAGTTTTCCATTTGGCGCTGAATTTAACTTAGCTGATACATAATTCTACTACAAGTACTAGCTCATGTCCTATACTTTTGTTGGAATTCAATATTGCTATAGTTAATTTAGCTTTTGTTTTTTAGATACTTCAATGGATGATGACTATTAATGAAGATGTAAGGACCCACTCCTTTTCTTGTAAATCTATATTTTGTTATTAATACCAACATCTACCTTCCTAAAAAAAAAATTCCGTGACTAATCCGGGTGAGGACTGATGATTATTCACCCTGAAATGTAACCATAAGGATAGTAGTTCAGTATACATGAGATTTTTGTCACTACAAGGTTAGGGAAAGTTTTGTTTGTTTGTTTTTTTTTTTTTTGGGAAGGAAAAGTGTATTAAAAAAATAGATATACAAGGGTAATCACCCACAGCTTGTACAATGAAGTCACGTAGAACTCAAAGACAAACATAAAAAAAAAAACCAAAAAGCTCCAAAGTAAGCCATTTGCAGTAGCAAAAATCAGCACAAACTATGCATTTCCCTGCAACTAAGATGGCCAACAATCAAAACAATAGCAACAGACATGAAGCAGACAGGCCCAAGCACAACACAGCAGCACAAAAATCAGCACAACACAGCAGCAACAAGCATCAAGCCAATAGGCCCAAGCTCATAAAGCAGAACAAAAATAGAAATCCTTCACAAGTTAGGAAGTGGATCCATAGCAAGCCATTTGCAAAAGAGCAACAGACATCAAGTAGACAGGCCCAAGCACAACACAGTAGCACAGAAAACAGTACAACACTGCAACAACAAGCATCGAGCAGACAGGCTCAAGCACATAAATCAAAACCAAAAATACAAAACAGAGATCCTTCTCAAGTTAGGAATTCTTAGAGAAGTATAGGCCTTGAGCCAGTACTTCCCCAAGAATCCCAAACCGAGAAGGATGGAGGCAAGTCTTGTAAGTGTCAAAACATTGATGCAACAAGCTTCAAATTCAGAACTAATGGAGGCATGTGTCAGGCAGGTTCCATTGTAACAAGGTAGAGGCATTAAGATGGATGCGCTTGAACTTCAAAGTAAGGAGCCTCTCCCTAATAGACTACTTAACCATCTTGATGAGAATATGAGAGTCAGTAGCTTGGTTTCTAAAGATTCTTGCATTTCTTTCCTTCCAAAGATGATACACAGTAGTATAGAGACTGATCTTCAAGATAATAGTGGTCATTTTCTTGTCTTTCCACTGCTGAGCAGCCCAATCAATAAAATCAGGTCATTGCCTTTGTTGTCCATGTTGATTGCACTGAAGAAGAATGGAGTTCCAAACTCTAGAGGAGTAATCACATTCAAAGAAGAGGTGGCTGTGAGATTCATTAGCCTTTCTACACAAGACGCGTTGAGTGTCAACTTCATTTGAGAAAGCTTGGATTCTATCTTTAGTGCTCAATCTCATTTTAATGGCTAACCAAAGGATAAAGGCCATTTGAGGTATTGACTGGCCAAATCATACCAAATTATGCCAAGAGACCATACTAGTTTCATTTCTCAAGTGCTGCCAAGCAGATTTGGCAAAGTAATTCCCATCAGTGGTAAGGGACCATCTCACAAAATCATTTCTGGTTTGATCAGGAAGGTAGGTTGGCATGTTGTTAAAAATATCTTGAACACACAGATGAGCAGAAGCAGTTCTGTTCCATTGGTGGTTGGCAATAACACTACTGACTCTTGCTTCCCTTGGAATTCTTTCTTGTTGCACTATATTAGAGCTGTTTCTTGGTAACAGGGAAAGGTTTGTTGCATGAATGCAAATGCACTAATAGAACTTGTGAAATAGAAGACTAAAATTCTCAATATACAACAATAAGTCACAATAGGGTCATGGTAGAAGTTATATAGACTCATAGTATGCACATAATCTATATTATCAAAATTCCGATTCGGAATATACAATTCTACAATGGGGTACAAACATTAGATTGAAACATAATACTTGAGTTGTCACCTTTTATACACCTAATAAAAATAACCCCCAACAATTCCATGCACAACAAACATCTCTTGCATCCTTTCTTGGTTAATATGTTATTCTTCTTTGTGAATATATCTAAGTAATTAATCACAACTACTGAGTCTTTTTAACAAATCTATGAGGGTGTGACATCTGTGTTTGGAAGTTTTACATTTAGCACCCCTCAGAATTTATAATCTTGACTTTAGAGAGTAACAATTTTTATTGGGACAGATTAATATATTTTCCTTATTATTTTCCTAATGTTTGGTCGTTTGTTAGCAATAATGCAATGGGCCATCCCATTTGACAGTTGAGGAAGATGGAGAAGGCATCATATCAGCCCAGTTACTATCTTATGCAAATTAGAAAATTGTAGATGTGACATAATCATTTGTTTATAACTAATGAACCAAAAAGTTTTCAAAATATTAAAGTGTTTGATTGCATGATATATAACACATACACACGTAGGACTCATAGATATATCATAATTATTAACAACTATTTGTCTTGTAAATGATTATTTTTCTCTTGATCAATCCAATTCATACTCATGTTAAAGAGTACAATTATTTTTTTTTACATCCTCAACCCCTTAAACCCATCTTCTCAAACCCACTCACCCCCTAGATTTGACGAAACTCATGATCATGCGTTTAATATTCGGGTCAGCTGCAAGTCATTTTGGGATTGAATTCAAACATGGGGTTTGAGAGTCTTTT